CTTTTATTTCTAGATATATTTGTCAGAAATGATGACCATAACTTCTGCTCGGACACTTCGTCCTGTATTTTTCAATTTTATTTCTAGATATATTTGTCAGAAATGATGACCATAACTTCTGCTCGGACACTTCGTCCTGTATTTTTCGCTGGAATTGTGTTGCTTCCTTTCATGGTGTGTCTTGATAGAGTAGCTAATCACCAGGAACATTGGACTGACGTCATAGGTGGATGTGTTATCGGTATATTTATAGCTGCATATATGGTAAAGTATCCACTAAACAATTATGTACTAAAGTTATGTATTAAAAGTAACTATTGGGCCAACATTTTGAAATACATATTATTATTTCCTCACCATTATTATTTTTCCGCTGCCCCCGAATGGCTTAAAAACTGGGCTCAGCAAAATGGCCTCATTTACCAAGACACAGATAATCTTTTCTCCTATCTCCCTGTATGGTTTTAGTTGCCAACACGGTTCATCCCATTAAACATTTGAATAACCATATTATCTCAATACTTTTGGATATTATTAGATAAATACATAATAAAATGTCACACCAAAACGTCCTTTGGCATTGTTCCATTCGATTCTCTTCATAAATAATATACCTTATCTTTCCTCTCTAAATATTATAAATAATAATAATGATAATAATAATAGTAATAATAATAATAATGATAATGATAATATTGATAATAATAATAATAATAATAATAATAATAATAATAATAATAATAATAATAATAATAATAATAATAATAATAATAATAATAATGTTAGTCTTATATAGCGCTTAATACAAAACAATGCTTCTAAGCGCTTAACACAAAATAAACACAAGAAGTGGAATGAAACCATAAAATATCTAAACAGTATCCAAAAAATGAAGAATACTAATAAGCTTCAAGCTTGTGAACGATCATTCCAAAGACGAGTAGAAGGAAAGATGAATGATGCATTGCCATAGAAAACAGAGTCGGTTTTGAACAGTTAAGTTTCTTTTGCGTATAGATCTTAATTTCAACTTTTATTGTCAACAATATATCGTTAATTAATAAAATAATTGACAAAGAGTAATAAGGTATAGTTAAATAAAACTAATCTTACCTTAACACCTTATTGATGAAAAACAATATAAATCAATTATTTTAGATTTTACAATAAGTTGAATAAATTAATTTGGACGAACCATAACGGAAGCAGAGATAAACAAATATTATAAACAAAACTAATTATAAAATTAAAATAAAACATGTATGTGATAAGTTGAATTAACTAAATGGATCTGAAATATATTTAATGAATAATTTTCTTCAACAAATGTTATCAAATTATTTCTGCAAGTAATATTTCTAGTACCTAAGGATAGATAATTAACACCATTAAATGAAATTTGTTGTTGACCTAAATGAATTGCTTAGGAGGACAATTATAGTGTGATGAGCTCCTCAATGTAGGATGGTGAAGCTGAGTTAAGGCGCTTGTACGTGGTCAGCAGTATCTTGAAATTTATTTATTTTTTGGCTGGACAGGAAGCCAGTGGAGGACTTTGAAAACTGGAGTGATATGGCAAAAGCATTTGCCCAGTAACAATAGGTGTATATTTGTAATTAATAATAATATTATTTTTGCTCTCATATTTATTGCCATTGGTATTTCTTACTGTTGTTTTTAATTGTTATTGTCATTGCTATTTTTCTATTTAAATTAAATTTACCGTAATTATTATTATTTTAAATTAGACCCTATACTGAATGCGCAATTAATTGCTTTTGCAGAGTGTGTATGTTCTGAACAGTTTTAAGGGGTCTCTTGAAAGAGCGAAAACAAATCTTCCGTTGACAAATCGTGACATTCTCAAGCCCCAAAAGTTAAAAAATGATCAATACAATGGTGGTGGAATAATGCAGACGTTAACAAGGGGAGTGAGTCGTGCATCAAGTCGCCAAGCCAGCCGCCAGGCCAGTCGTCGTGAAAAAGATTACGATTTTATGTCGCGCATGTATAATAGATATAATACTGCTCATCGAAGCTACAATGATAACCACATGGATGACCACCGTCAACAAGAAGCGTTTGTTTATAATCATCAGCCTCCATTGCCTTCATTTTCGGCAGAAGCTGAAGAATTTAATGACGTTCACCAATCTACAATATCTGCATTAATTCAGAAAGAAACACACGATGCTGCTGGTGTGGAGGCGGACGTGAATCTAGCAGACGATGATCAGCCAATGTTTTTATACCACCACTAACGTAATGTTCACACAAAAGTAATATTAAATTATTTTCATTGTTTACATTGTATTTTTATAATTTTACACTTACTATTTATAACGTTAATTAAATACCTGCATCATAAAATTTACCATTAAGAGTTTATATAGACAACAATGAAACACAAGCATATGCAGTTAAAGCATATAGGTGAAAGTAGTAATTAAACAAAATACACACAGATTTACTAGCCCGAAATAATTAAAAAAACATTCTTCTTTAAGAATTCGTGTATCTCATCATCATCAGCCCCTATGAGCACTATCGTCTCCGCAAATGAATTGAGAGGTTGGACATGTAAAATCCCGGTGTTGTCGCCGCGATATGCTCAATGGAAAGCCTAATGTCCAATTTTTCAGAAAGGAGTATAAGTGGGCGGGGCCAGGAAAAAACTCATAACTCTATGTTTAATGCATACAAATCACTTGTAAGCATAAAGTTATTTAGTCGCCAAAGCGTTAAAGCCTTACCATTATATTCAGGGACGGATCCAGAAGGGGGAACCGGGGTGGGGGAACGTTTACCCCAGCTGTTTTGCTACTAAATTTTAAAAATTTCAATACATATCAATGTTATGTGCTACTTACATATTCTGAAGTTTTTGTGCCCCCTTCCCCTTTTGAAAAATTCTGGATCCGCCCCTGATATTACCTGGGAATGTATTTCTGTAAAATCCAATAAAATGATGTGATTTGTGAAATGTGTTACATATTATTGTAGGCCTATTACCATTAATCTCATTTGTTTCTAAACTGAGTTGTTTTGACGCTAATTGATGAATATTAATTATACTAATGATGGGTTGATTGTATTTATTGATTTGTATTTATGGATTGATTATTATTGATGGTTTTTTGTTAATTGACTGATATTCCGTTGTTTATTTAGGACTACACTATTGCAACCATGTGTATACGGTGTACACATGTTTATCATATCGGTGAGTTGGTACGAAATTTCCATTCAGAATTAATTATATATTGATTTATTTTTTTTTATATATATGTGTTCAAAAGTTATTCTGAAAATTAACAAACAAATGTGTGTGTTAGCCTAAATAACATTCACAATACAAGAAAAGATCGAATTATATAGATATTTGCAATGACATATGATATACCTTCATCTATATTAATCAAGAGATATAGTATAAAACAATAACAGGCATACTATTTTTACTATAAACTATTGTGAACTTTAGCTAGTCTGTACTACAATTTTATTTATAATTTACAGGCCGACTTTACAGGGCCTTATGTAAGAATACATTTTTAAAAATTACAAAACGGAAAAAGAGGGGTCATTCAGTAATGTATAAAGGAAATTCTAGTATTTTTACTGTTCTTGATGTAATTATATGAAGCATTCATTCTCTGTATAATCATTACAATTAATTATATTTTTTAATAATATTTTAGAAATAAAATTTAATGCTGTTTTTGTATACTTGTGTTGTTTTCATTTTCTTTTTCTTTTTTTCCAGTATACATTGGATGATGTAATTTTAAAGAATTTATTTTTTAATAATAAACTGAACATATGATGAATCGTATTTATAGATTATGTTGTTTTCAGTTATGTTTGTGGGCTACAGTACATCATCTCTCAGCGAGTCAGAGGTTACTCATGAATATTAGTATCCAGTAGCAATCCAGTCTGGTCTCTACCTGAGGGTACTGTTATAATGTATTGCGCCCTCATAATTAAATTACTCAATGACGACGAGTTAAAAAAAAAAAAAACACAAGTAAAAAGTAGCCCAAAAGAAAACTAAATATCAAGCACTAGATACACGCTCCGCTGGGCACTGCTCCGCTGGACAATACCTTATGTGGTGCATCTTTAAATCCAGACCTCTGCGAGGGCCGATGTTCCTATGAAACTATTTGGGTAAAATATTGCACTTATTTGTAATGATAGCCTAAATAATAAATAATGGCCTAAATAGAAATAAGGTACGGTAACAAACGAAACGGATCGCTGGGAGCGTTTTTTTTTTTTTTTTTTTTTTTTTTTTATGTGGCACACAGAAATATCTCCAGCACAATTTGGCTTTGTGCAAGACAAAGGAACAAGTAATGCGATATTTACCTTATCAATGATCATGGAATGGTGTATCGAAGTACAAAAATATCGGTATCTCTGTTTCATCGACTATTCAAAGGAGTTCGACAAAGTCAAACACAAAGTGCTGTTTGAAATTATAGGGAAACTAGACATTGACGGTAAAGATCTGAGGGTTATCCAAAATCTGTATTGGGATCAAACTGCAGCGGTTAGAGTGGAAGGGGAACATAGTATTTTTAAAAACATTAAACGAGGAGTGAGACAAGGGTGTGTAATGTCACCTGATCTTTTTAATCTGTACAGTGAAGCAATCCTAAGGAATTTGGAAGATAGTTCCAGGATTAAAAGTAAATGGAGAAAATCTAAACAATCTCAGGTATGCAGATGACACAGTTTTAATGGCAGAATTAGAAAAACAGCTCCAGAGTCTTTTAGATATCGTTGTTTTCGAGAGCGAAGCAATGGGCCTGTCTCTAAATGTGAAAAAACAGAGTGCATGGTCAACCAACCCAAAATGCAACCTATTTAGCAAAAGAGAACAAATCAAAAAAATTACAAAATTTAAATATCTTGGCTACATGATAACATCAGATGGTAGATGCACAAGCGAAATAAGGAAAAGAATAGGGATGGCCAAAGATGCATTTCAAAAAGTGAAACCATGGTGAAACCAATTCTAACTAACAGAAATATAACAATGGCCACCAAAGTAAGATACTTTGATACTTGGAGTAGGCTATGTATTATACTATCTTATCTGAGATTAATCAGTGGACTTTTCGGTTATTGCAAACTTCCTATTGCTACAACAGGAACCAAAAATATTATGTAAACATCAAAACATTTTATGATTTATACAGAAAAAAGAACCACATTCAAGTCACTACAAAAATAATTATTTTTGTAAACTATTTTAATGAAACCAGAAACACAGATCTTAGACCTATATAAGGGGTTCATAACTCTTGCATTCGCGGACCTCCGGACATGTCAAAAGTCTTCACGGACCCCCATGTCTAAGTATTAATCATTGTCCATATCTCAACAATAATTAGAATATGATTGGCCAAAATACAACATTAAACACAGGGGCGCCAGTGGGGTGGGCGAGGAGAACTTCCCCCCACCTATGACAATTCCCTTCGCCCCGCCGCCGCAAATTTCCCTGAAAGACTTTTCAACTTGGGACCCTGAGGATCTGGTGCCAAAAATTACACTGTCAAGCGGAGTGTGTCACTTTACAGACCTGGTTCTTATGGATTGGATTGGATTTATTCGGTGTAAACACCAAGGATAACTCTAGAAGAAGACTTATTTCCAATGGGGTCCATCTGGTGGTGATTAGGCAGTACACCGGGAGACAATCTCCCTATCTCAAGAGTGTAATGCGTTCTTTAACGTACACATGGGCATTTTGGCACACGGGACCAACGGCTTAAACGTCTCATCTGAAAGACGCGGAGCAATTTATTCTGGCCCGCGAGAAAAAATAAAATTATTAAGAAAAAAATAATATTTTGTTTTATGTTAATATTTATTAACGAGGCAGCTGACTCTCTAATGAGTTATAGTAAAACTTTGCTTAAGTCTGGCGCCCCTGACAAAAATTTGTTGTATTTCTAAAGATCGAAGAATAAGATCTTTGTTGTATTTGTACTTCTTGAGGGCGCACTTCCAGCGGTAATCAAGTTTTTAGTTGAAATTATTACAAAGTGTCAACATCAAGAGACGGCTTCCAGTACTGTAGTAGTAACAAAATTATCTTTGTGTGAGCTTCTATATACAATCTTGTATTATCTCTATAATTATTAGTTGTGTTATTTTAGTTTCCTTATAACGTTACAGTTATTACCATGGCTAGGCCATACCCTACTTCTAGCTAGCCTAGGCCTCTAGGCCCCTACCTAGGGCCTATCTAGGGCTAGGCCTGGTTGGTAGCATAGGCCTAGCTAGCTAGGGCCAGTAATCTAATAGGTGCTTGGCCTAGCCTAGACAGTTAGGCCCCAAGGGCCAGGGCTCCTAATAGTTGGTCCGGTCCACTCATCAGTAGGCCTAGGCTAGCCCAGACCAGTAAAGTAGTTTACTTAACCTTTAGGCTATGAGAACTCGGCCTAGGCTTATGTAGTTCATTTATTATTAAGGAAGACCTACACTACAGTACCACACTGGTGTAAAGTGTTTTTTTTTTGTGCACAGTATATCTTGAAAACTCAGCTCATTGAAAATCTCTATGAAAAAACCTATGGGCCTGTTTGAGCAAAAAACACCAACTGTATTCCGTTTATTTCACCGGGTAATCGCACTGAGCACTCAGCGGGTGGTCGAACGCTCGAGCAAGTTTTAGCTCACGGTAAATACAGTACGTTTAACCAAACTACTCCGGAAGTAAATTTTAACTTATCCCATGGTCAACAACCCATTCTTTGTTTACTTGCTACTGCTGCTATAACCGACCCACGTACACACAGCGCGGCACGGTGGAACGATAATGTAGCTCAATTTTATAATGGCTGCTTTAAAATCTGTACGTAGGCTAGTTTATTCAAGTTTATTTCTCCTAATAATGGTAAATCTACAAATCGATCGCGTAGCTATGCTACTAAATTTAGATTTCGTTGTGCATGTGTGAGGAGGCGAAGGAGAGCTGCAACCACGCCTGAACCGTAACCTATTGAATTTCACGCTGGGCTGTGGACAAAACATTTTTTAAAACAATTAAGGTTGATTTATCATCGCCTTTCATGGCCTCTAGCACTCTTGTAGGTTTACTAGTACTAACTTATACCTTGCAAACTCTACACATAATGTGTGAATCTCATGCATGAGGATTTACTTTTTACATCTCACGCCTTCGTTGTAGTATCTCACGCATCATAAAAATGTTATAAAAGATAAAATGTAGGCCGATTATACCCTGAAATTCATATAAATGGAGTGAATTTGCCATTAAAATGTAAACTGGGCCATAAACTTAAGCTGTACCGACCGATGACTGTAATCAGTAGCCAGTTCCACCATTACAATTTTTTAAAATAGTAACATAGAGGGCGGTGTATACATTTTTTTTTTTGTCTGATACATCAGATGCCAGCAAAGTTGGCAGGTATACAAACTACAGGAACTAGTCTTTGCTAGAATAGAATCCAACCATATATAACAACCATAATAATATAGCGCCTTTTCCTCGCGGTTACAAAGCACTTGTATCATACACAAATGAATCGTAAATCCACTATTTAAAACTATTTATTTTGATTAAATAATAGTGATAAATTTAAATTGCAAAAAATCTTCGGGAAGGAGCCATCTGTCTCTATTCTGGCGCAATCCCAGACCCCTGCCTAGGCGACCGGGCAAAGGAACAGGAAACACTAAATAAACTAAATAAAAACAAAATATATGAGGCCTAAGCTACAGTAGACCAGTTTACTGTATAGGGCGATGAGTAATTGATAGTTTACAACATGCATTTTCTTGAAGTTGAATACATTGTATATTTGTAATGTATCCTTCCTATACAGTCACCATTAGTTTATAGTACTTGATACTTGCTTGAAGAATTGGGTCATTTTGATGCATATATTAAGCCTTATTTTATAATGATGGCCGAACTCATTACACTTCTGTTGAAACTCTACAAGAAGACAGTTTGGGGTTTGTTACAGGAAAAGTGTGAAAAACTAAATTTGTAAAGAAGCCCACTCCAATTTTCATTTTTAATGAGGATTTAAAATTATTTAGACTCTAGATTACAAAATTTAGACCTAGAAATCCATCTGCACAGAAAATTAGGCCTTGGACTATGCCTCGGTACAACCAATGTATTACAAAATTCAAATAGTTTTGGTTCTGCGCACCTATTTTCCTCTCAAACTTTTTGCGCCAAATTCAGTACAGTTTTTATTTTAGAGTCTTCTTCTTAACATGTTCTATTTTGCGTTTAAGCTTTCCACAATTTTTTTCGATTTGTTTTTTTGTTCAAGGCAGGATGATTTGTTGTAGTGCTCATGTTTACATATCCTTCCAGATCTTTTTTAATTTGGATCATCCAGTTACTGTCTCTTATACACAT